TAACTCCTTAGGTTCCACAGTGAGTATAACAAGCATGCTTTACTGCATATACAGATTGATTTTACAGTTGTGGGCTTATTAACAATTTAACAGCTCAAGTTGTCCTGCAGATGTAGCAGTTAGAGGGTTGAGACAAACCATTTAACACTGACAGGGTGCTTTCAATGATTAGCCTTTTTTTAATTTATGCAAAACCTTTTTGCCAAAAGGAACAAAACTGTTGTTGTAATTGCTTAAAGTGTATAAGCTGGAGTTAGGCTTCAATTTGTTATTGTATCTAAATCTAGTACATCTAAACCCCCCTCTACCAGAATGACAATGCTGCTGTGCAAAGGTGTCTCTGTTGCTCCTTCAACCACTCTAATACAGGAGGTGTGTTATTGGCCGGATTACCAGGTGAAAACCGAGGGAAAAAGCCTAAATTAAAAGAGACCTGTACTGAGGAAGACCTCCAGTCTGACCTCACTATCTGAAAATGCTACTTATCTGACCTATGACTTGGACTTTTTTGCATTCTCATTTTGAGGCAACAACCTTGAAACTACTGAAACAAGAGAAAGGCTGTTGCTGCCAAATCGACCAGCATGTTCAAAAGATCTGCAATGGCAGCCTCCTCTTTCATGACTAGTCTTCATTAATTTCTGTTCATAAATCCATATGGTCATCTGGAAATCTTCTATTACCATTTAGTTGCCGTCATCCTGGAATTGGGGGATCCAAACCATTCCTTGCCTTATTAGGTTTCTCCTTCATGTAAGCATGAAATAACAAGACAATAATAATATCTTGACATTTCGTTCATGTTATATGAGGCATAAAAATATGAGGACACATAGATTTATGGCTATACAAGATGGCTAGGTCAGTGACTGTAAAAATGGCCAAAGGGGACCCTGAATTGAAATCCATCCCTGACTATAATGATTTCATAAGTTTAACAAGCGCACTAGGAATTGTTCCTGAATTGTCATGGTACGCCGCTAAAGAGCAGAACATCCAGGGCGTATGGCTGCGTTCACCAGTTCATAATGTTCTAGAATTATATAGCTTCTTTTTATTACCGTGTGTGCTGACTGACAGAACATCCGCATGACACACAGTCCCTGTGGTAGAAAGGCTTTATTTCTATCCAAGAACGCGGAAATAAAACAACGGATTATATCACATGTTTCATGTTGAAGGTTAACAAGTGTGTGGTCTGAATAATGAAGCACTGCTGGAGTATTACTGTATATATATATCAAGGTTGATGGGAACCTCTCGCTAGAAAGGAAAGCTCTCATTTTAAAGCTGAACTCCAGGCAAACTGTTACATAGAAGACAAATATCTATTGTATTTCTCTCTAACAGTCCTGAGATTTAGGCCCCTTTCACACTGACGGTACGACTGGATCTGCCTGTCAGTTTTTCACGTGGCCCCAATCGGACCATCCATACCTCTCTGTGGAGCAGAGGGTGTCAGCGGACATGTATTTGCTGACACCTGCCAGCATCCGATCCGATCCTGCACAGTAAAAACAGGTGGATGGGGATCCATTCCCTATCCATCCAGCGGATCAGATCAGATGACAGTCGGGTGGAAAACAGACAGGCGGTCCGTTTCCATCTGACCACCCCATAGAAAACAGCGGGCTGTGTCTTTGTCTGCTCTGCAGCAGTGGAGCGGACACAGGCATGTCATCCACCTGCTCAGCAGGGATCAGCAGAGAGATCCGCTGACAGGTCCGCCCCATCTGAAAGGGACCTTACACAGCTCTGCCACACAGCACAGTGCCGTCTAGCAGAGCAGGAGACCTGATTTTCTCTTCTTCATTTTAGGAGCACTTACAGGTCTTGTTTCTTCTCCAGCCTGTGACTGTACAGCACATTGATGAGGGCATCTCTCTGTCACTCTGCTCTCTTCTTCTGTCAGCATGCCTCTTGATAGCACATGAGCACTGCAGCTCTTTTTACTTCTTCTGCCTCTCCCAGGCTGGACTTTGCTTTACACTGACTGCAAGGTAAACACAGGTACAAACACTACTTCATTTTAAAAATTACACATAATAATGATGCACTAGTGAATACAGAGCTGCATTATTTTGTCTTTTTTTTTATCTGCCTGGAGATCAGCTTCAGAAGAAACCAGGCGTGGTTTCCCATATGGATGAAAAATATATTTGAATTGAAATATAGTTTAAAAATATTCTTCTAAAAAATATTGTCATATATTTGAAATACTACAATTTTGACAATATTCACAATATCAATATATTAAAAAAAAAAAAAAAATATATATATATATATATATATATATATATATATATTGCATGTTCACATGCGTTTTTATTGCAAAATATATGAAAAATATTTTAAAAATACATTTCAAATATACTGTATGTCTTTAAGAATACAAATCTACATTTTTGGAATGCATTTACAAATATATGTAAAAATATATTTTAAAATGACTTTTTTTATATGTGAAAGAAATCTGAAGAATATATTTTAAAAATATATTCTTCAGATTTTTTTTACATATAAAAAAGTAATTTTAACATATTTTTACAGATATTTGTAAATGCATTCCAGAAATGTTGATTTGTATTTTTAAAGACATACAGTATATTTGAAATGTATTTTTAAAAATATTTTTCAGATATTTTGTAATAAAAACACATATCAACATGCAGTAATATATATATATATATATATATATATATATATATATATATATATATATATATACACACACAGGTGAAACTCAAAAAATGAGAATATTGTGCAAAAGTTCATTTATTTCAGTACTGCAACTTAAAAGGTGAAACTAATATATGAGATAGACTCATTACATGCAAAGCAAGATAGTTCAAGCCGTGATTTGTCATAATTGTGATGATTATGGCTTACAGCTCATGAAAACCCCAAATCCACAATCTCAGAAAATTAGAATATTGTGAAAAGGTGCAATATTCTAGGCTCAAAGTGTCCCACTCTAATCAGCTAATTAAGCCATAACACCTGCAAAGGGTTCCTGAGCCTTTAAATGGTCTCTCAGTCTGGTTCAGTAGGATTTACAATCATAGGAAAGACTGCTGACCTGACAGTTGTGCAGAAAACCATCATTCACACCCTCCATAAGGAGGGAAAGCCTCAAAAGGTAATTGCAAAAGAAGTTGGATGTTCCCAAAGTGCTGTATCAAAGCACATTAATAGAAAGTTATGTGGAAGGGAAAAGTGTGGAAGAAAAAGGTGCACAAGCAGCAGGGATGACCGCAGCCTGGAGAGGATTGTCAGGAAAAGGCCATTCAAAAGTGTTGTGGACTTTCACAAGGAGTGGACTGAGGCTGGAGTCAGTGCATCAAGAGCCACCACACACAGTCGGATCCTGGACATGGGCTTCAAATGTCATATTCCTCTTGTCAAGCCGCTCCTGAACAACAAACAACGTCAGAAGCGTCTTACCTGGGCTAAATAAAAACAGGCCTGGTCTGTTGCTCAGTGGTCCAAAGTCCTCTTTTCTGATGAGAGCAACGTTTGCATCTTATTTGGAAACCAAGGACCCAGAGTATGGAGGAAGAATGGAGAGGCACACACTGCAAGATGCTTGAAGTCCAGTGTGAAGTTTCCACAGTCTGTGTTGATTTCGGGAGCCATGTCATCTGCTGGTGTTGGTCCACTGTGCTTCATTAAGTCCAGGGTCAACGCAGCCGTCTACCAGGGGATTTTGGAGCACTTCATGCTTCCTTCCACAGACAAGCTTTATGGGGATGCTGACTTCATTTTCCAGCAGGACTTGGCACCTGCCCACACTGCCAAAAGCACCAAAACCTGGTTCAATGACCGTGGGATTACTGTGCTTGATTGGCCAGCAAACTCGCCTGACCTGAACCCCATAGAGAATCTATGGGGCATTGCCAAGAGAAAGATGAGAGACATGAGACCGAACAATGCAGAAGAGCTGAAGGCTGCTATTGAAGCATCCTGGTCTTCCATAACACCTTAGCAGTGACACAGGCTGATAGCTTCCATGCCATGCTGCATTGAAGCAGTAATTGCTGCAAAAGGGGCCCAAACCAAGTACTGAGTACATATGCATGCTTATACTTTTCAGAGGTCCGATATTGTTCTGTGTACAATCCTTGTTTTATTGATTGCATGTAATATTCTAATTTTCTGAGATTGTGGATTTGGGGTTTTCATGAGCTGTAAGCCATAATCATTACAATTATGACAAATCACGGCTTGAACTATCTTGCTTTGCATGTAATGAGTCTATCTCATATATTAGTTTCACCTTTTAAGTTGCATTACTGAAATAAATGAACTTTTGCATGATATTCAAATTTTTCGAGTTTCACCTGTATATATATATATATATATATATATATATATATATATATATAATATATAAATATATTTTAAAATATATTGAACATGGCCAAAATTGTAGTATTTCGAATATATGGCAATATATTTGGGAAGAATATTTTTAAACTATATTTCAAATAGATTTTTCTTCCATGTGGGTTAGACCAATGGTTATCAATTTATGAGCTAAAGGGTGCCTCAGTTGCAGCCCCTGACATCACCAAAGGGTTGCAAATGTTCAATATATGTAATGCTTGAGAGAACTGTCAGAAACTGCAGACCTAATAGAGGAAATGGAAGTCAGAGAGTGTGGACATGCTACATTTTTGGCTGGAGATACTGTATGCTGCAGAAGACAATATGAAATTGGGAACATGTTACATGAGGGTAGTAGAGATCAAGGCTATTATCCTAATCGATGCTCCCACTACAAATTGCTAAAGTCCAAGGCCCACACATCATATACCAATGGGCCACATGCAGCCCTTGAGCCACAGGTTGGGCACCAGGGGTTTACACTGTTATTGTTGACCTCCTTTTGAAAATGTTAATTGCCTGGCTGTCATGTTAGCACTGACATGGTGATTACATGGCTTTGTTTTATGAAACAAAGCCATTTAATTGTTTTCAAACAACTTTTGCTTAAATAGTCTTCATGGTGAAGTTCGAGGCTTATTTCTATAACATTTTGGAAAGACTAAATTGTTTATTTCATATCTAATAATGGCCAATGTAACTATTTTAATTTCCTTTGTAAATGACAGTAAAAAGAAGTTTGGTGTGTCGACCACCAATGAGGAAAGTGGTATGCTCACCAGATGATCCAACCATAAAAGGAACCGAATGCACCAAAACATGCCAGAACTATGAGTTTGAATGCTTGACCCCCTACTGTATTTCTGGCTGCCTGTGCCCTGAAGGAATGGTAAGAACTGCCTGAAATGTTCTTGTCCTTTACATATTAGTAGAATTTCACTTAACAAAATGGCTACTACCCACTAAAGCAGTGTAAAAGAGAAACAAAGAGCATTAAAGCTAAAGTTCAGACAAAAAACATTTTTTTCTTTACAACTGTAGTTATCTGTAATGAAGTATGTCCCATAATGTGCAGGCTGCTGGATTCAGTAGAAATCTTAACAGAAAGGCTGCCCTGTCCTCTTCCTGCTGCTGGAATTGTGGCGCTGTGGGGGTTACCAGTCTCCGGGGGTTCAGCTGCACTAAAGATGATCTGACTGGAACATGCCCCTCCTGCCCCCTCCTTCATTGAGAAAGGTTCTTTCACCGATTACACTCCCCCATCCACACATCATATCAGAAGCAGTGTAATCAATGAAAGAACCTTTCTCAATGGAGAAGAAGACAAAGGGGGCATGTCTCAGTTGGATCTTCTTTAGTGCAGCTGAGCCACAGAGACTGTTAACCCCCATAGTGCCAGAATATCAGCAGTAGGAAGAGGACAGAGCAGCCCTGCACTGAAGATTTCTACAGAATTCAGCAAGCTGCACACCACAGGACTTCATTACAGATTAGTAATGTAACTAAAGCTGTAGAGGAAAACATTTTTAATTTACATGATCCCTTCGCTTTCTGTATGTGGCTGATGTCACTGTAATTATTTTACTAAAAAAATTAAGTACCTTTTTTTCCTAATCAGTATACAGTTGTCACATGACCCAGCTCTTTCCCAGCCTGTCTGTAGGGAAACAGTGGCAGGAGGAGCTTCTGCTGCTGGTCACAAGTGCAAAATAAAAACATGTTGCCTTTGGAATCACAGAGTAAAAAAATAATTCATATCAATAAACGTTTTTTTTTCCATAACTAATTTTATTAATATCAAATAGTAGCAGCAACAAATATAAGCCAAAGTCACATAAATGTAACCACAACAACATAAAGAAAATCATGAATTTTGATATACAATAGGATCAAACTGGACTTAATAAACAAGAAAATTACAAGATACCAGTGAGTTGTTTAAACATTTCTGCATGGGACTGACATAAATGTAAATATCAATCTTGATATAACCCCAGGACATATAAGAGCAATAAACGGTTTTAAATTGTCATACAAATATATATTTGAAACCAAATCTTTATTATTTTTGGCAACAACATGGTGTTGGCAGATTTCTCCAGCCAACACCAGACTCCAGCCTGTATCTTAGAATAACAGGGAGGTGAAGCCTCCATCAATCAAGGCGTATTATCCCACCCTATTGTGTTTATATGGTTAGTGAGCATGAAGGAGTAGGGAGGGAGTGGGCTGCCATTTACCACAGTGTATACGCAGACATGTTTGACTCTATAGTCACAAGGGCTGCTCAGATGTGATAGGGAGGAAAGGCTCAGGGTAGAAATAATACTAACAACCAAGCATATGCACTAGCTGCCAACAATGCTCTGCAAAATCCCCAAATGAAATGGGGACATGGACGGGGGGGGGGGGGGGGTCAGAGAACAGCAGGATCAACCAGTTTTTTTGCAGAATAGAGAAAACCGATCCCATAGTGACTGAGTTAGCATGAACAACATGTAATACAGCATTTATGGATAATTTTTAATGATGTGGGTTTAATGACACTTTAACTGTACTTCAGTTTTAAAACTGACATTTCAGCAAGAGCTGTCATGGGGTTGTAGAGAATGTTGAGAGGAGTCAGAAGACTCTCTGTACTTCAGGAAACACAATGATAACTCCGTTTTATTGTTTGGTGTCTGTACATGTAAAAACTTGTTTTCCACATAAAACATACTGTTTGTTGCCTCCAACAGGACATTCCAGCAGTAGTTTTTACAAACATAATCACATGACCCAACAGCAGAACCTATATAAAAAATAGCCATATTAGAGTAAAATAATCTCTAAGTACAGAACTGCATGTAGGGACATTTAAAAAGCATCACAAGTCTTCCACCATTGGTCAGTGAGAGTGTCAGATTCCCTTTTGAATTCTCCAAAGCGCCATAAACTATATGGCCAACAGTTTGTGAACTCCTGACCATCACGCCTATTTAAGCTTGTTGAACATGCCATTCCAAAACCTTGAACAATAATATGGAGTTACATCCCTCTGCCCCTCTATGACTATAACAGCCTCCAATCTCCTGGGAAGGCTTATCAGAGAATTCGGAGTATGTCTGTGGAAATGTGTGCCCACTCATTTGTGAGGTCAGGTAGTGATGTTTGATTTGAAGACTTGGCTTGCAATCAAAATTCCATTTCATCCCAAAGGTGTTCAGTAGGGTTGAGGTCAGAGCTCTGATCAAGCTGCTCAAGTTCCTCCTCTAAACTTTTTTTTAAGAATCTGGCTTTATGTACAGGGTCACAGTGATTCTGGAACAGAAAAGGTCCTTCCCCAAACTGTTGGCACAAAGCTGGAAAGCTCAATGTTTTAAAATATCTTTGTATGCTCTAGTACAGGGGCGGACTGACCATTTGTAAACTTGGGCACTGCCCGAGGGTCCGGAGTCAGTAGGGGGCCCCATGAAATTCCCCTGGTACCTTTTTCATAGGCTTTTTTGAGTTTGGGCAAGGACACAGGGGCCCCATGATCCCCTATTGCTCAGGGACCCCATGAGTTGTCAGTCCACCCCTGCTCTAGTTTTACCAGTACCCTTCATTGGAAACACCTGAACTCAATATTTGGAAGGCGTCCTCATACATTTGGCTATATAGTGTAGAGAATTGACCCCAGAGAGGGAAACAAAGAAGAAGATCTAGGCAATGCCCCCAAAAGTCACCAGGCAGAGAAAATGTGGTAATCTCCGTAATGGGCACACAGACAGTTTGCTAGCTGAGTAATTCATTAAAGTGATACTAAACACACACTGCTTAATGTACATTGTCCCTTCTCTTTCTGTATGTGGTTGATGGCACTGTAATTATTTTAATAAAAAAAAAAAAAAAAAATAAAGTACCTTTTCCTAATTGCTATACAGCTGTCACGTGACCCAGCTCTCTCCCAGCCTGTCTGCAGGGAAACATAAGCAGAAGGAGCTTCTAGTCGTCTGCTGCTGATCACAAGTGCAAAATAAAAAAATAAGCCTTTGGAATCACAGAGTAAAAAAAAAATTCATATCAATAAATGTTTTTTTTTTTTTCCATAAATGATTTTATTGGTATCAAATAGTAGCGGCAACAAATATAATCCAAAGTAACATAAATGTAACCACAACAGCATACAGAAAATCATGAATTTTGATATACAGTAGGATTAAACTGGACTTAATAAACAAGAAAATTACAAGATACCAGTCAGTTGTTTACATTTATGTCAGTCCCAATGCAGAAATGATTAAATATCAAACTTGATATAACACATGCTCAGAATAAACAAAAACCCAGACTTTGGGATACAGAGTAAAAATAAATAATTAATATCAATAAATTGTTTTAAATTATATATATAAATGATATTTGAAATCATATTTTTATTGTTTTTGGCAATAACATGGTGTGGGTGGATTTCTGCCAGTCACAGGCTGTGCAACGCCCCTTCAGTCTTTGGCTTAGAATAACAGGGAGGTAAAGCCTCCATCAATCAAGATGTAATATCTCAAGCCCCTTTTTGTTTGCTGGTTAGTGGGCATGAAGAAGGAGAGAGGAATTGTTCTGTCATTTACCACTGTGTATACGGCCACATGTGTGATTCTATAGTCACATGGACTGCTCAGATGTGATCAGGGAGGAAACGCTCAGTATAGAAACTCACTGAAAACTGAGCATGTGCATTAGCTGACAGCACTGCTATGCAAAATCCCCACCTGAATTGGGGACATGACCAGAAGGGGGAGACAGAGAACAGCAGGATCAAATGTTTTTTTTTTGCAGAATACAGAAAACAAATCCCATAATGAATGAGTATGAACAGCATGTAATACAGCATTTATTGATAGTTTTTATATGATGGGGGTTTATTGACATTACATTGGGTGTAATGATAGTACATTTGCTTCAGTTCATCTCAAGCTGCTACTGTATTTCCCTCTAGCTGTCTTTGTAAATCTCCCCCTCTGCCTCCATTTATCCTGTAGTTCTTCCAACCTGGAATTTTATATCAAACAGCCTTAGTCAAGCGAATTAGTGGGAATCTACAATAATTAAAGTTTTTCCTTCCAGTTGACAGATGGAATTAATCCAGAACGCTTACAGTTCAAGTGACAAGTGATTTATAGTCTTATAGAGGTTAAACTCAAAAGCACATCTGGTTTTGTGTGCGGTTCCCCCGTTTTACAGATGCGTAATGCGAAGCACGCCGAGGTCAGCAGACTTGTTATAGACGTATAATGACCGAGTTCACAGCCAGTCCCAAGGGCCTCTACGTTAAGGAAGATTTTCTCTCTTGTAGTGAAATATTATGGGCTGAAGTATGATGTGTGTTATAGGCATAGTCTCTAGTTGCCCGTAGCAAGCAATCAACCTCTCTACAGTCCATATTTAAAAAAGTATACAAGGGTCCTGATTGGACTCATAAATGAGTCGCAAGTCTGGGCCTTGTTTACTAACACGTTCTTACTAAAAATGGGAGATATTTTCTTACAGGAACCAATCAGATTTAAACTTTTGGAGCAGATCTATTACTGATTGGTGGCTGATGAGGACCAATTTGAGTTAATATATAATGAAGTATGAGGGTGCCCATAGAAGCCAGTCAAATTCCATCTATAATTTTTTTGACCAATTAAATGTTACTTTTTCTGAGCTGTCAAATAATAATGCATTCTATTCTGCCTAATAGGCAACTGGCATTCCTTGATTTATAAAGGAAGATAGATGATTTATTCAACACAATCTAAAGTGTTACTAAATCCAGGACCCTGCATTCACTATATCTGGTCTCCCACAGTACACAGAACATGGAAATGCAATTATTTTTTAGTAAATATAAACTGCTAAATACCTTTTCTCATCAGCAGTTAGAGCAAACTTATGTCATCAGTGTTTAGCAGAGCACTAGTTAAAGCTTGTAGGAGTTTTCTGTCTGCTCTAGGAGGATGCAGAACCCCTTACCTCTGTCTGGACAGCGCTGATTGGCCCTGTGCTGATCATATGCATTCTCCCAAGAAAAAACTTCTCTTGCAATACACACCAAACTGAGCATGTGCAGAGTGTCTCCACACAATATGTGTTATCAGGAGATAAGAGGGGGGAACTGGAAGAAGGGAATGATCAGGGAAGTCAGGATCAAACAGCATTTTTACGCAATGCAGATTTTTAACCCCTTAGGTTCCACAGTGAGTATATCAAGCATGCTTTACTGCATATACAGACTGATTATACGGATGTGGGTTTAGTAACACAATAATGCTAAGAAAATGAATTTACAGCAAAGTGCATCATGCAAGGAGATAAATATAAGCACACCACACTGCAACAAATGCAGTGGTAAATGTAGCCAAAAGTTTAAGAATGATTTTCAAACAGACCTGAACTATTAGGAACGTAAATATTTTTGGTAGGAATAAATTTCTTTTTTTGTCACTAGGTGGCAGCCATGTAACAGAAACCATCATTGTATTGTCTGAAATGATAGCTATGCTTTCCTGAACTTCAAAATATTTTGAGAGAGAGAGAGAGAGAGAGAGAGAGAGAGAGAGAGAGAGAGAGAGAGAGAGAGAGAGAGAGAGAGAGAGAGAGAGAGAGAGAGAGAGAGAGAGAGAGAGAGAGAGAGAGAGAGAGAGAGAGAGAGAGAGAGAGAGAGAGAGAGAGAGAGAGAGAGAGAGAGACATAAAAGGCTCAGAAATCCATGGCTGTGTACACAGACAGCCGTGGCAGCTACATAAACACATACTTCATTACAACTTAGATTTAAAGTATTTTATTAGGGACTCTGCAAAGTTCGGTTTTATATTGCACAGTGTTTTCTTTACAGTAACAATGTATAAGGGAGCACTTGTATGACTTTTAACCTTTGGTGTGGATATCCAACTATTGCTGGTTTGGAGATCTCTAGAAAAGTGTTGGTGTTATGCAACAGCTTAAGCTAATAGGGAGTTTCAAGCCCCCCCCGCTTTGTGGCTATAACAGTCTCCACTATTCTGGGAAGACTATCCATAAAAGTATTGGAGTGTGTCTGTTGGAATGTGTGCCCATTCATTTGTGAGGTCACGATACTGATGTTAGATGAGAACATCTGGCTTGCAATTGGCATTCAAATTCATCCCAAAGGTGTTCAGTGGGGTTGAGGTTAGCGCCTGGTGCATGACACTCAAGTTCCTTCACATCTTAAACTATTTCTGGTTTTGGAGATCTCCTGAAAGATGTTATACAATACTCAGAGGTCTCCAAATTTTATAAACAGAGGGCCAGTTGACTGTCCTTCAGGCTTTAGGGAGGCCAGACTGTGGTCTATGGAAGTAGAAAATGCCCCATTGTCAGTGGGAGTGAACAATGCTCCATTCTTGGTATCAATGGGAGGAATTGTGCCCCATCAGTGGTGTCAGTGGGAGGTATAGTGCCTCGTTAATGGTGTCAATGGGAGGAATAGTGCCCTATTGATGGCTTGACAGTCAGAATCTGGCACCACATAGTCCCGCTATGGCTTTCTGGACTGGCAGAACTGCCTCTGTTGCTGAAATCCTCCCACTGTGAGCTGCAATGTCTGGGAGGTAAAATTTGTGAGCCACAAAAAGGATTTGGGAAGGTATAGAAAGTTTTTGGTTTAATTTATGAAGCCTGTGGATCACAGTAACTGGACTGGGGACTTGTTTAGACTGTCAAAAAGAAGTCTCTATTTGTACTTGCTGAACACAGGTAGAGTGACAGTCCTGTTATTTGTTGAATTTCCAGGTCCGACATAATTCCAGGTGCATCTATCCATCTAGATGTCCATGTACTCACGCAGGAAAGGAATACGCTCCTGGAGAGTCAGTGGAAATTGACTGCAACACATGGTTCGTGTATCATTTATTTTGTTTTATTCACTTACACCCACTGGCCACTTTATTAGGTACACCTGTTCAAATGTTTGGTAACACAAATTGCTAATCACATGGCAGCAACTCAATGCATTTAGGCATCTAGATGTTGTGAAGATGACTTGCTGAAGTTCAGACCGAGCATCAGAATTTGGAAGAAAGGGGATTTAAGTGACTTTGAACATGGCATGGTTGTTGGTGCCAGACGGGCTAGTCTGAGTATTTCAAAAACTGCTGATCTCTTGAGATTCTCACGCACAACCATCTCTAGAGTTTACAGAGAATGGTCCAAAAAAGAGAAAATATCCAGTGAGCTGCAGCTGTGTGGACAAAATTGCCTTGCTGATGTCAAAGGTCAGAGGAGGATGGGCAGGTTGGTTCGAGATGATAGAAAGGCAACAGTAACTGAAATAACCACTCGTTACAACCAAGGTATGCAGAATACCATCTCTGAATGCACAACACATCAAACCTTGAAGCAGATGGGCTTCAGCAACAGAAGACCACACGGGTAGCAAGGTGTACCTAATAAAGTAGCTTCTGAGTGTATATTGCATTGACACACTGCACAGCACTTTACACAGAATTACATCAGTTAGTTACCTAGAAGAGTCTTAACATATTAAACCAATTAAAAATACACACAGCCTGAAGCCTGAAGAAGGGACCTAAGTTATCCTGAAAGCTTGCATCTTTAAAAACCCAACTTTAGGAAAAGTAGAAGTCTTGCTTGTGTAAGTTTATGGGACAGTAAAAACACTTGTTGGATTTTTTGTCATGCGATCACTACTGGCTATAGTTGCCAGCAGTGATCATTGTGTTCTACTGGTGGGGAAGGCTCCCTGCCAGTAGAACAAAATAGCTCTGTGGGAGGAATTCCCCCATCAACACTGACTGTGTTGATGCTGAATTCAAGCAATCTTCTTTCCTTCCACCCATGGTGGAAGGAAAGAAAATTGCATAATCTATAGGCTGCTTTAGGTGACCTTATTATAAGGAGTGTCTCTGGTGCCTTTCTGCAAATAGAATTGGAATGCCTCAGGATTGCCGCACTGTGAAGAGATAACTGGCAAGATACAGAAGGAACAGTCTGACTGTCCGCCTGGCCCCCCGGCTAGGTGCCTCCTCCAAACAGTGCCTCCTGCCCTCCAAACCCTTCCAACAGCCTAATAGCTAATACCAGCCCTGTACCCCAAGCATCATACAGAGGCTAGATGCTGAGGTAAAAACCAAAGGAATAACATTATTGAACAGAAATACGGGTTTTCATACACTTCAAAAATAGGGGCAGTCACTACATGAGCAATAAAAACAAATATTATACATTGAGGTTAGCATCCCACAATGGTTAGGTAAGGAGGTAAAGATGACACCAGACTAATCACATCCTGTTGAAATCTCCAGGAGGATTAGCAAACAGACAGAAACAATAGGTAACAATGGGAATTCATACCAGGGAAATTGGTAACAATGGGGAAATTACACAATGGGAAAAAGACACTTCACACCTAGATAGAATAGGAAAACACAGGTACACATTATAACAGTAAACATCTCAATAAACAGATCACATATAACAGCAGGAGACCACAGCATAAGGTTGTTCTGAGCCGATTATAATCTTCTGCTTTAAGTCTCTGACTCTATGAGGGTTGATGCAGTCAATGCTGGTTTGCGCTGTTGATTCTATACCCCAACAAAACACAGAGGCCCAGATCTGTATTGGGGTCCTTCGGTTCTCAGGGTCTGTGTGTTTCGGGGAGATATGGACTTGAATCTGAAGTAGAACTACTCCAAAGGTCCCCCAGGGACACACCTCCCAATTTTAGAGCCCCCTCAAACACCAGGGCCTATAGTCAGTAGGCAAGAGGCTGGCCTGCAGTGCCCTTCAAAATCCCCTGTCCTAGGTTGGGTTGTCACAAACAGAATGCCAAAATTGCAAGGAAACTGTATTTTTAGAACCAGGTAGAAGGTCAAGGCAGGCAGCAAACAGACATAGTCAGAAAGCAGGAGGGAAGTCAAGGCAGGTAGCAGACCAACAAAGCCAGGAACTAAAATGAAAGCAAGGGCAGATGGGCATAGTTAGGAGCCATGTGGGAGGGACAGGGCAGGCAACAGACATATGTGGTCAGGACTCAGACTGGAAGTCAGAGCTTGCAGCAGACAGACATAGCTAGGAACCAGGTGAGGGTATCAAAGCAGGCAGCAGACACAAAGGGGTTTATTTACTAAAGCTGGAGAGTCCAAAATCAGACTCCCTTCTGCATAGAAACCAATCAGCTTCTAACCTCAGCTTGCTCAATGAAGCTTTGGCAATGAAACCTGGAAGCTGATTGGTTTCTATGCAGAAGGGAGTCTGATTTTGGACTCTCCAGCTTTAGTAAATAAACCCCAAATAGTCAGGGACCAATTGGAAAGCCAGGACAGGGGGCAGAAACAATCAGCCATAAACCCGGCAAGAGGTCTGGGGAAGGCAGTAAACGGACATAGTCAGGAATCAGATGGGAGATCAGAGAAGGCAGAAATGAGATGAATAAAGAAATACAATGGCTAGCATTACCATTCACTAGATAAAACAGTTTATATTAAGCTCATCATAATCACAAATGTATATGTCTCAGTAAAACTGTAAAAGAACTGTAATTACCCTTTAATCCCTAACTCACTACAAAACGCAGGCCTACATTCAGGTAGATCATACTGCGTGGTAGAGATCTACTCTTTCACAATGTGGAAGTGTATGTGTACTCAGAAACATTGTTTTATTTAGGCTTTGTATTGGCCTATGCAATGGGGGGGGGGGGGAGCCTGACATCGACCAACACCCCACCCCACCACGAAGAAAACCTGACATTGATTAACAACATCCCAGCCCCCATCCCCAACCGAGAGAGCCTTCCACTACCACCGCCCTCCATACACTGGCCAACCCCCACCCCGGTGACAGAGAGAAGACACTCACTTTCACAGCTCCAAACATCCCTGAGAATGAGAATCGGGCTCTGCATACACCATCAAGCAGCCCGCAGACTCGCTCAGATCCCACCTGGTCCCCATGCTGCATGTGTCCCTTCTTCCATCCTTTCTGGATGGTGTTGCCCCCCTGAAAAATGCCACCCTAGGCAAATGCCTTGTTTGCCTTGTGGTAAATACGCCCCTGCTCTGAACTGCAACCGCATCTGTAGAAGCAGAAGTGTGCTCACAGAACTGGGTTATGGAGATTACGGGGGGCATAGTCACAGATGGGGTGCTGTTTTTGCGTGAGTGCTGTTTTTGATGGAGTGCTAAGAAGCAGTTGAACACAGCAGTCCTTCCCTGCTTTCACAGGTAAATGCTGCTATCCTCTAAACTTTTCACATAGACTAATCTCTGGGTAAATGCTGCTATCTGCTCTCTCCACTCTAAACTGCAACAACGCATAGACTCCTGCTATCTCTGGGTAAATGCTGCTATCTGCTCTCTCCACTCTAAACTGCAACAACGCATAGACTCCTGCTATCTCTGGGTAAATGCTGCTATCTGCTCTCTCCACTCTAAACTGCAACAATGCACGGACTCCTGTTAATTTCAGATCAAATAGTGTATATATATTTTTTGTCTATGTTGCTTAGTTCTCACCTCTCGTTGCACTCTTTTTATGACTGTGGCCTGTGTCTGGTCTGTGTTTGAGAAACATCACCCCCTATTCATGTGATCCTTATCAGTTCCTAATTGGGGCAGAGAAGAGTGCTCATTTGACCATCTCCCTATAAATTTAGATCAGCTCATGGGGGGCGATCACAGATCGGGGGGCATAGTCACAGATGGGGTGCTGTTTTTGCATGAGTGCTAAGAAGCAGTTGAACACAGCAGTTGAACTAAAGCAGGATAACTCAAGCAGCAGCAAGATACAACAACAGCAAGAAACTCTACTGCACGCTGGATAGGCTGCAAGCAAACACCCTGGGAAACATCTCTTACAAGTCTGAGTCCCACTCCGTGCACCTTTTTAATATGTCCCCTCCACTCCTCCTTCTCATATTACTATCCCGCGTTCCCAAAATCTCACTTCTTTACCCCTCTGCTCCACCCCAAAACTTGTACATCTCACCCTCACTGCTACCATCTCCCTACTACTGCTCCCATCACCTCCTGCTGATACTTTACTCTCCTGCTGACCCAAATGCCAGGACTGGACGGCATGTACACTCGTGCACATCCCGCTCCCATGTTACTTTCTCACCCTTCTTCTCCTAACCTCTGGGGATATCTCCCCAAACCCTGGTCCTCCACTATTTCACCCCCACACCAGGCATCCTCTTTCTTCCGGGAATAGCCGCAATCCCCTCGATTTAATATCAGTCCCCATGCTTCCAAAAACCACCCTCCCTTTTTCATGTGCGCTATGGAATGCCCGCTCTGTCTGTAATAAGCTCACCTCTGTCCGTGACCTTTTTGTCTCCCGCTCCCTTAACCTACTAGCAATTACAGAAACCTGGCTTCAAGCAGCGGATTCTTCTTCTGGTCGGAAAAGAGGTGGAGTTGGTTTGCTTCTATCCCCACTCAGCACCTTTTAAGTCCTCCCTAACCCTCCCTCTCTATCCTTCTCTTCTTTCGAGACTCACTGCATTCGGCTGTTTTCTCCCATTTCTCTGAGGATTGCAGTGATTTATCGGCCTCCTGGACCGGTGTGCCGCTTTCTTGATGATTTCTCCGCCTGGCTACCCTACTTTCTCTCCTCTGAACTACCCACTATCATTCTCGGAGATTTTAACATCCCTATTAATGTCAACAACCCGGCTATATCCCAACTCTTCAACCTAACCTCATCTTTTGCATTAGCACAATGTATACAGTCTTCCACTCACTCTGATGGGAATAAATTAGACCTTGTTTTCTCTCCCGTCTTTGCACTCCCTACAACCTCACAAACACCCCCTTTCCTCTCTCTGATCACAATCTCATCACCTTCACAGTGTCCTCATCTTCAAACACCT